GTGAGTGGAAGACAAGGAGGGAATTAAGGAATTGAGATTCCAACAATCACCCCCGAATCTCTAAGTCCTTCGTGTCATGTCCATAAGAGTTCTATTTCTTCTTTCCACAATGCCGTTTTGTTGTGGTGAATATGGGGCGGTAAGATAGCGTTTGATTCCATTTATATCACAAAAGGAATTAAACTCGAGCGAAGTAAACTCACCTCCTTGATCACTTCGAAACACTTTTAAAGACTTTCCGAGCTCAATGGAGCCAATTATGCTATTTCCTATATTGGAACTGATATCGGTCAACCTGAAATACATGCTCATGCACAGGTAAGGTCTCTAATCTCTAAAAATACAAAATTAGATCGTAATTCTCTCTCTAATCTCTATTTAGTTTTAGAATATTATTAAACGAATTTTTCTTAGTAAGAAATCAAAAAACTTATCTTATGGGTTGAAGATTTCACCCAAGCTATGCCAATATCTATATTAAATTCGAGTCTGTGTTGATTTTTGGATATTTGCACCAACAAACAATATGCGATTTTGTTAAGTTCTGGCTTTCGTTGAACTATTATCTCGGGAGTATTTTTTCATACCAATTGATTGGTTTAATGTTGAGAATAGTCGGTTTGATTGTATCTGTAAGCCTTAATATTTTGATGCTCACTGTTTTTGATGAAGTTACATAAGCTATGGTTGCCCAATCTTCTTATAATTGTGATAATTTAAAAGATGGTTTTTTTACTTCATTATGATACCCAACAAACACGGATTGGTTTCTGATAGTCAACTGAATCTCATAGCCTACTTAGGTTATGAGGTTTCAAGTTGCTTTTTGTGTTATAGACTTTGCAAGAGTGACGATTTTAGTTTTTTAGTTGCAAGATCAGCTCTTATGCACTGCAAAGTGTTTTGTGATGTGTACTGTTTGATATATGCATGTTTTTATATTTAGTATAATCGCGTAGATACAACTTTATGATCCAATAAGATATGAGAATATGAACTTTGATGTGAAGAGACGTAAGAAAACTTATCTTTATTGTCCTGCCAAAATTGAAAATACATTTTCCGATGGTTTATGTTCTTTTCCAACATCTGCAGTAATATACAAGCAAAAAGCCAAAAACGATGACCGAAGAACGAGAAGTACATCCAGATTGTAGAAATTGTTCAATGTTCTCTGTCGACTTAGTACATATAAATTATGTTATAGAAAATAAATTGCAATCACATACTCTGTTTAAAAAATAATACAAAAGTAAATTTATTCGAGTAAATTTAAGTCTTGAGAGTAGGATACTTGATGACTTCATCTACAAAACTGACAAGATCATTTGTTAACACCTTTAGTTCATATTCTTTTTGAGTTATTACTTATTATAGACGAAGTTACAAGGTGACAAACTATAAGGTGGGACCACCTTTCTGTGGCTATAGAGGTAATGATCTGCATTATGCTATTACTTACAAAGATTGTTATTATACAGCGTATAAAAAAGAATATTGCTCTGTTTTGGGGCATTCCAAATCGAAAATTGTTATATGCCAAGTTTTTTGGTACATTTTTCTTAGGCTAGACTATTTTAAATTATAATACAGATAAATGCTTTAATAAAAAAAGGTTTGTGTTTTTTTAATATGTTGAATAATTTGTTTTGTTAGAGTTTTAGTTTTACCTAACATTTAAGATTGGATTATGTTTTTTTTAATAAGAAATAATTTAAAAGGGACTTATTTGTGAATATATTTATTGTAATTACATGTAACCATAAAAGTGGAATAGAAATCAATTGATTTTGGAATACCATGTTAGGGGCATTGAATAAAATTTGTTGTGATCACGAGATGCACTAGAGAAACTACTGATTAATGATGCTTAATGATGTTGGATTAAAGATTTAAAGGTAAAGCTCCTTCATTTGTATGTTGGTTTTAGCTTATTGTTAAATATGGCCTTGTTGATTAATATTTGTAGTGATGATTATGCTACACTATATTTTTCTCTAATTTTATGATGATAAACTGCATTTGTTACATTTCCTTTTTTGTTAGACTATTCAATTTGGAAACAACCCTTTGACATGTCATTTATTAATATTACATCATTGTATTTCCAACAAAAAAAAAATTATACACAATGTACTTTAGTTTTTACCTGATGGCAATGCATTTCAATTTTCTTATCCGTAATAGCAATTTACTTTCACTGAATTTTTTTTTCGATACTCTTGAACTAAAACCTTACGCCACTCGTGGGTCGTGCTTAGCACGGCCTTTAGATTTCCCTAGTATATATATATA